GTAATATATCACCATAGGCTCCTATGTTGAAGGTTGGTCCCCAGCTAAGTGATCCTAGTGTGGAAGGGTCTGGAAAATTTAGGAAGTGGCAACTATCGGAGGAAGTAGGCCACTGGGGACCTGGCTTTGAAGGTTACACATGGTCCTCAGTCCCCTCTTCTTTCTGTTTCTGGTCAGGTTTGAAGGTGAAACTTCTTCCTCACTACACTCTCATTGTTTCTCTGGTATTTGTTTCTCAGTTGACCAAATGACTGACTCATGCAAGTCTTGACATCATTCAAGCTGCTCTGATTGCAGCTCCCTGTGAGGAGAGTGGACACAGGTTGGCCTTTGCACAAAAGCTGATACTATTTGACCAAAGAGTAGTATATGGATTAGGGCAAAGGGACAACAACTCTAACAAAGGGCAAAATACCAGTGACCCAGGAAAGTGTTTTCTATCTTCTGTAACATACCAGTCATGAATGGTTTATTTGCATATGCACTCCACAGTGATGAGACATCCTCTGCGGCTTTCATCTTTGCTCTGCTTGTGAACTTGGAAGCCATCTTTGCTCTAAAATGGCTGCTTGTAGCTAACCACAGGAAGCCTGATTTCTAAACAATGAGGAGAGGGGACACTGAATTCAGTCTCTCCCCTTTCAGGATTTGCTAAATCCCTTCTTTTGACTCCCCATTGGCTATCACTTAGTTCTGTAGACAGTTCTGTAGATATCTTGTTCTCAGATACAAAAGATCAGTTCCAAAGAAAGAGGGATAGGGCTGGAGATGGCAGCTGGTTATCTCTGGACAGATGAGCATCTGATCAATGGGAATCCAACCACAGATTGGTGTGGGGCTTGTAGAATAACCTGTGGCAAAAGTGGCTTGTAGTGAGCTAAATTTAGATGGTACAAATGAGAATGTGTGGCCACTAGGGTTAGAGAAAAGGATAGAGTGGACAGGTTGTGAAGGAGGAAGAGGCAGAGGGTGAGGTCATTTCTTGAGGTACTTCTGTATGTTCTTAGTTTTAACCCTGAGTCATGTGCCTAGCTAGCAAGATTCTGGAGTAGAAGTAACAGAAACCTAACTTAGGCAATTATTGCAGTTGTAAAATGGTATAGACAGATTTTTTATTTTTGGCTACCAGTTCACAAAAAAAAATGACATGGAGACTTATTAATTATGAAAGCTTAGCCTATAGCTTAGGCTTGTCCCACTAGATCTTCTAAATTAAATTAGCCCATTTATAGTAATCTATGTCATGCCTCTTAGCTTTTTACCTCTCTTCCATCTTGCACCTCCTGTTTCCTCTCCATGTCCTCTGGTGTCTCTCCTATACCTAGATTCATCTCCTCCTCCTCTCTCTCTGCCCAGATGTCCCTCATAACCTCTTCTTGCCCAGCTATTTGTCATTTAGCTCTTTATTAAACCAATCAGAAGGTGCCTTGACAAAGACACATCTTTACAGTGTACAAAAAGATTATTCCACAACAAAATGGGGTCAGGAGAATCTAGAGAAAGACTTCAAAAATGGGATGTTTGGCAGGTCAATAATATTTTCAACGCTTTTCAGAGGTCATTCTCATTCTATCATCTACACTTGTGACTTCAACTTCAGGATGACTGACTCCACTCATGGTGACAACATGGCAACCAGCAGCCACGAGTTCCTTCATTGAACCTGGCAGAGGGGATTGAGAGAGAAAATTATTGCTATCCATATCCTGTCTATCAGATTGTATCAATTAAGAAAATATGTTCCTCCTGGGTTCATGCATGGTACAAAGTGACTGGACAAAGGAACTTCCACATCTGTAGATGGGGTGGGGGAAATGTGGATAAAATTAGGTTCTTTGGGGTTTCTACTGAGAAACCTACAGTTTCCACTCACCTACATGGCATAAGCCATGACTACAAGAAGACTCAAAGGTGAAGCATTCTTCAATTTGCTAGAGGATGGGAGGGGAAAAAAGAGCAAAAGGAAAGATTTGGTTGTATGTCCCAGTGAGGTGCCAAGATACAGAGGGACAATTAGTGTGATGGAGTGGTATCTTCAAGTCACAAAAGCATCTTTGGAAGACACCCAGAATGCTCCAGCAAGCCTTCAGATGATTGGATGGTGAGGCATCCAGAGAAGAATGAAGCCATCCAGCATGCAAGAGAGACCACAGCATGGCAATCACTTGCCAGATTGGAAATGAAGGTCCAAGCAATGACCTGGTGTCATTTCAGGATCAGCTGGCTGGTAGTAGAACATGTTGGGGACTATCTAGGGCCCTGACTCCTTGATATTGCCGAGATACTTTGTCTTCACGATGGTTAACACCATCAGTTGACAGGATCTAGAATCACCATGGTTTTCCTGTGAGAAAGTGTTTTGGTTAGGTTGATTGATGTAGGAGTACCTGACTTAACTGTAGGTGACACCATCCCATGGACTGGGGTCCTGGGCTGAATAAAAAGGAGAAAGTGAGCTGAGCACCAGCCTTCATCTCTAATGCTTCCTGACTGTGGATGCCCTGTGACTAGCTGCCTCACACTCCTGCCACCATACACTCACCACAGCAATCGACTCTCTCCTTCAACTGTGAGCTGAAGTAAGCCTTGCCTTCCTTAAGGAGCTATTGTCAGGCAGGCATTTTGCTAAGGAGTCATCACAAGTAACAAGGATACGGAGAGAGAGAGAGCTCAGTCAGCAAAAATGTTTGCCCTCTAAGCATCAGGACCCAAAATGGATCCCCAGAAGTCACATAATAAAGCTGGACAGGTTAGCACAGCTTGGAATTCCAATGTTGGAGAGGAAGAGAAAGTTGGGTTCTTGGGGTTCACTGGCCAGGCAGCCTAGTGAGAGACCCTGTCTCAAAAACACCAAGGTGGACAGCACCTGCAGAACAACACCCAACATCATCTGGGGCCCACATGCACATGCACCCTTAGACACACATGCGCAGGCATGCAGGCATGCGCACATGTTCACATTGCATTAGCATACATGAAAGAAAGCTAACTGAGCCAGTGTTACCCCAGAACTTTCTTCCTTAATCTTCCCTGTGCTTGTGTGGAATGCTCCGTCCCATGACTCTTTAAGAGACAGGTTGGATGTATCCCTTGTCCTGGCTCCTCATGGAGCAGTGTGATAGGAAGGTAAAGAATAGTCTCCTACAGGGAGGTAGACCCAGCTTAGCACATGGTTCCTCACTCAACCAGCCAGATGCCTGCAGAAACTCTCTCCCTTCTCCAGGGCCTCGGTTTCCCTGTGCGCAATGGAGAAGACCACATGTGCTAAGATGGACGATCCAGAGGTCAGGAATCACACACACGACAAACCCAGGATGGTGCTAGGTTCGTAGTGAATCTTGACAATGACTCTTGCTGTGTTTTCTCCCGTCCCCAGCACCACAGGAGACCTTTTATTCCCAGCAGTCCCTCCATCATGCCCATGTATTCATTCATGACTGTCCAGCACAACCATCCTTGGGAAGAGCATCGTGTTGACCTGTCTTCCTTTTTCTCCTCATCCTCTTCATCCTCCTGGTTCTTCTCTCCTGGCTCTTCCTCCACCTTTCTTCCTCTCCCTCCTCCTCTCTTCTCATCTCTTCCTCCTCCTTGCACTAGTGAGGATTTAGTCCATAGCCCAGTGCATGCTGGGCAAATGCTCTATTACTGACTGATATTTCCAGCCCTCTTTTTTACTTTACTTTTTGAGATGACATCTTAACCATGTTACCTCAAACTGACTGCAGCTAAGGAAAAAATGTGTGATCCTCCTGCCTCAGCCTCCCAAGTAACTGATGTTGCAGACCCATGCCATCAAGCCTGGCTTCTCCTTTATTTTCTTTGATTCAGGATTTTACTTATGTAGCCCAGAATAGTCTCAACTCTCAACCCTCTTGTCCCAGCCTCCCCAGATGCTGGCATGACATGTGCTTTCTGGCCACCACCTTGCCCACCAGATCTTCAATTTAGTTTTTCTCTTCACCCTGGGTCTCTCGAGGTCTTGATATTTTCCACCATCTTTGTTCAATGGCTCATGTGTGGACAGGATGGAGCAGCTCATGGAACTTGAGGGCAGATCTACTCTGGGTGTGTATGAATACATTTCTTTTTGATCAAGCCATAGCTGGCAAAGTGTAAAGGAAGCAGCAGGAGTGGGGAGGTCATTTGAAATCACCATCCTTTTCAGATTTTATACCCCATCTGGTCTCTCCTGCTGAGAAGTCGGCTGGGCACACAGACCTGAAAACCTATGCCAGACGACCAACTAAGTCCCAGAAGTCAGCTCCTGATGCTATTTGGCAACCTCAGGCCTCTCTGGGCCAAGGGTTTAGTGCCAAGTATAATTGTGATTTACACCCCATACCCCTTTGGGTGCAAAATGGTTTTGATTAGATACATACCATGTTTATTAAGCCTTGCACAAGGCAGGCTGAGGGCTTGGCTTCTCTGCCGTAAGAGGGAGGGAGATTTACACGGCTCCCTGCAGGATTCATTTAATCTCTCGGGGATTTACTGACCTTCAATTAGAACTGTTAAGTACTGTTTACACGGTCCCTAATTCATACAAGACCCACATAAGGCTGGCTTTTGCTTTCATTAAGGACCTGAATCAGGAAAATAAAATGTAAAAGGTCTCTGCCAAGCAAGATGTGATGGTGGTGGGGGGGAATAAATGAAAAAGAACAACAAAAATCAGAAGCTGTTAGCAACCGAAAGCCTTGTTGCTTGTTATTTAGTGCAGGAAAAAAAAATAATGTAATTTTAGAACATGTTTAAAAACTAGCAGACAAAAAGTCACCTGGTATGAAAGAGTTGGGACAAAGAGGAAGGTTAGAGTTTTAAAACTCTGTCTAATAGAACTGAGAGGAGAAGGTCCCTGGAAATATTTTCTATTGTGAAAAATCAGAAATTCCCCTCTGTCCATCAGAAGGCAGAGTGTTTTGTTTTCTCCAGGAGCGAACTAGTTAGATAAAAAGCTTTCCAGGTGTGCTATCCCCAAACCATGGGCTCCCAGGGGCTGTATGGAAAGACCAGGGCTGCTCCTCTTCGCCTTTCCTCCGCCATCGTCCATCCTAAGCCTGAGTCAGCTTCTCACCATATCTTCTCACAAGACTTTCCAAATGAAGCGACTCCTAGCCAAGAAACAAGAGCAAAATCGTCCTATTCCTCAGTGGATTCGGATGAAAACCGGTAACAAAATCAGGCACAACTCCAAGAGGAGAACCAAGCTGGGCCTGTAAGGATTCACACGGTGGCAAGACTGAGAGTTTGTACTGGATCATGGTCATGGCGATCTATCCTCCCAGATGGAGTTCAACATTTTTAACCTGGAGACTTGTCATGTTTAAGTCGGGGGAATGGTTTGTCCAGTAATATAGAGCCTTTCAACAACAACAAAAAAGACTAGGGCTATGCCAAGCACAAAACATCACCCACTGATATTATTCAAACATTTGGAAGTGGGAAAGTGTGTGTGTGTGTGTGTCTGTGTGTATATGTCTTTCTGTGTGTGTGTGTATGTGTGTCTCCATGTGTGTGTATATCTCTGTGTGTGTATGGGTGTGTGTCTCTATGTGTATGCCTGTCTGTGTGTGTATGTATGTGTGTGTGTATGTATGTGTGTATGTGTGTATGGGTATGTGTCTGTATGTGTTTGTCTATGTGTATCTCTGTGTGTGTGTCCAGAGGGGCAACACTGAGTGCTTCCTCATCTGCTCTCTACCTGTGATGGTCTGAATGAGAAAATGTTTCCCACAGGTTCACATATTTGAACACTTGGTCCCTGGTTAGTGACACAGTTTGGGAAGATTGTGGGACTTTAAGGAAGTGGAGCCTTGCTGGAGGAAGTATGTCACTGGGAGGATTTCTAGCCTTACCCCACTTCGGTTTACACTCTCTGTGTGTCCTGGCATGCCAATAATGCGTGATTGGCCAGCTTCCTTCTCAGGTGCCTGCTTCCATGCCAACCTGGCCGTTCTGGACTCAAACGTTTAAGGACCATTGTCCAAAAGCAACTCTTTCTTCTTTAAGTTGCCTTTGGACATGGTATTTCATGGTCTTTCCACTGCAGAATGGCAGTGAACACACCACCTTGTTTTGTGAGATGCAGTCTCTCACTGACCCTGACGTTCTCTGACAGGGTTAAACGAGTTGGCCAAGACAGCTTCCTGTCTCCACCTCCCCAACACTGAGATTTACAGGTTAGGTGCCACTGTTCTGGCTTTAGAAAGTACACTTCATAAAAATCGTTAGGAAACCTGCAATAACACAGGATCAGAAATCACAAGCCCAAATGCGCACAGTGAACAAGAAGTCTAAGAACCAGGAAATCTGGGCTGGGCTGGGAGTAGTCAGAAGCTTGTGGTCCATCTGAGAGACACCCTTCCTGAACTGTAGGTGCGGCAAAGACGGCTGGGCGAATTATTAGAAACAGTCACATTCACTCTTGGAGAGAAGCCCTATGCAAATGGCTCAGCGTCACAGTTTTCTGCAGGGAGAAGTCGTTTTCAATTCTCTGACACATTGTATGTATTGCTTTCAATTTCAGCCTTGGAAACAGAACACTTGGGCTATGACAGCCTTGGGGTGGGTACAACCAATTCAGCCACAGGAGAGTGAGATAATAAGAGTCACGGCCAATAATGAGACTCAACAGATGTGCCGAGTGCCCTGTTTCGTCACGGCACCAAAAGTCCCTAATTGCCCTATGTGGTTGTCATGATGACCCTAGTGTGACATGACAGGCTAGGGAAAGGTGAAGTCACTAGGGCAGGTCACACAGATATGGAGTGGCAAGTCACGTCTCACACACAGTCCACTAACTCAGAGCCTGTTTTCTTAGCTACAGGGAAGCATCAGACTGGGATGGGCATGGGATGGAAACTTCTGTTTATTCTATACAGCTTTATTTCCATTTGCAGTGGAAGCTGGTTGATCGGTATAGCTCCACAGGATTCTACCTGTCGGTGACCCTTCCCCTAGAGTAAATTATTCTCTGAAAGGTGGAGAGTTTGGCTACCAGGAGTGAAAATGAGGCCAGCATTTTCTACATCCTAAGACCAACTGACAAGAGTGCCACATTTGGGTCTTCATCTCCAGTGTTCCTGGGGGCAGAAGCTTTTCAGCACTAGGGGGACAGAGAGCTCAATTGTTGACTGTCATGACCTGTGCTTCTTGCATTTTTCATGTGTGAGGTGTGTATTTATGCATATATAGTGGGAAATTACCAATACGGAGCCAAGTAGAAACATAAGGGTATTTAATAGGGAAAAGCCTTGCTTACAGAGCGACCTAGTCAGCCGGCATGGCAGCAGCCTGTACAGCAAGCCCAAAATGAAACTGAAAGCAAAACTCAGCCAACTGAAACTCTTACTCTACATCACCCTGACCACGCCCTCGAAGGCATGGTCAGGCGGACCTGTAGCCAGGCCCTAAGCAGGTGTGGCTACAGGTTCCCCTACAATTCCCCTTTTAGTCTAAAAGAGGATTAAAACTTAACAGTGTAAAGTATCCAAAATTAACAATCATAAAGGTGAAATATAAGTAGATACAACAATCTGCTTATGTCCCATCCTAACTATCTATTTTAACTAAATCCTAAAGTCATCTGAAAGAGGTGTCCAAGCTTGAACACCTCCTTCCAATCCCAACCATAAACAATAGGAAGCTATCCCTAACTAGGTATATACACTATCCTAAGTGACAACAATGGGGAAGAGGTTGTAGCATCCTCCAAGTTACTTCCTGCTGAAATGGGATGACGATAGCCTTGTGGGGTCCTGTAGGAAGAAAATGTTAGTATAGTGAAAGTCTTGAATGGATTGTATCCAGTCCATGTTAGATGGGAGTCCCTTGATTGAAGATCTCCTTTGAAATCCTCAACTTGATTGAAGTCAGTACCCGAAGCTCTGGTGGAAGTGTCAGTTGAAATGGAGCAAGTTGGATCCAGTGCAGTCAAGGAGGTGTGGCCCATTTTCTCTCCCGGGTGTCCAGGGATTGCTGTCAGGCAGGTCTTCATTGGCTGTGTGGGACTCAAACATAAACAGTTAGCAGAGAAATGTTTGCTTGTGAAGTATACATGCTGGAGAATGCAACCATGGGAGCATAACAATTATGAGAGGGTGTACATCTTGAAAGAAAGATCCAAGAAAAGACAAAGACAGTCCCCAAATTCTTCTTTTATTCTGTATTACATCAATTGGCTTCTTGATACAATATAGAAACACTAAAGTTTAGTTAAATAACGTGCTTGGATTTTAGAGGAGGAAAGCCAAATCCACCTCTAAATCCAGCACTGGTTTAAATGAATAGAGACTAGGAAATAAAGAGAAATAGAGTTCTCTGAGAGACAGCTGTAAAGTTTACCATATGACAAGTTCCTTTTGTTATGGAGTTTGCTTTCAACATGGCAAGATTAGCCATTTGGGCAAGAAACTGCTCTTGCCTGGACTGTTTGTTGCTGTATAAACTAGATATAATAGAACCCACAAGAAAGTGACTACTGAACTTACAAAACAAGACAGTACTAAAGGCTTCCTGTTAAAAGGGAGAAGTTTGCTAGACACACTGGCCTATAGGCTGAAGATGGATGCCCCAACATTAAAGAGGAACTTTGGGTGACTGTCCAGGTAGGAGAAGTCTCTGTCAATTCTACAGTTTATATATTATCCTTCTATGGTCTTTGATAGAGTTGAAGACAGATAGTTATGGTTATAGTTTTCCTCAGTTATTATAAAAGATAAGTTATCTTTCTTTTTATTTAGACAGAAAAGAGGAGATGATGGGGAATGTATTGTGTATGTTTATCTTATTGACTGTTAAATAAAACATTGTTTGGCCAATGAAATGGCAAGTTAGGCGGGACTAGGAGTCAAAGAGGATTTTGGGAAATGTGGAAAGAGGAAATGACATAGCAAGGAGACTCATATTTAAGCGAAGGAGAAACAGGAAGGGTCCCTTTATCCCCTTCCTCCTCCAGCAGCAGGATGTGATCCACCGGCAAGGAGGGACGCCAATAAGGCGTCTGATAAGATAAGTCTTATAACATATATAGATTTATGATCATTGAGACTGAGCTAACAGATGAGAATCCTAGTCATTGCCCAAGCAGCTTTGAACCTAATACAAATTTCTGTGTATTCATTTGGGCCCTAACTCAGGAGGGCGGTGGGGCTCAGGCGGCTTTTGGCGTAAAGACTTATTGTAACATGCATATGTGTGCAAGTATGTATAGGCACTTGCATGTGGAGGCCCATGTTGATGTCAGGAATCATCCTTTATTGCTCTTCCGTCTTATTCATGGAGGCAGGGTCTCTTAATCAAGACCAGAGCTCACGGATATGGCTAGTCTTGCTAACCAGCTTGATTTGGGAATCCCCTGTCTCTCCCTTCCATGACTAAAATAGCAGGTGGGCTGTCACACTTTCTCTGCATTTATGTGGGTTTGGAGGATCTGAGCTCCAGTCTTCATACTTTTGTAGCAAGTATTTTGACCATGTAGCTATCTTCCTACCCAATCCCCAACTTCTTTTAGATTGTGGCTAAAAACCCACAGCACCATGGCATTTTCTCTCCCAAACCTGTGCGTGTGTTGTGTCTATTGTTAACTAACATTCGTGTAGTGGACTTCTAGAACTTTGCCTTTCTGTGAAACTCAATCCAGACCCTTTAAACACCATTCCCTGTTCCCCACTCCAAGCTTCTGTTTTGGCTATTTTATGTGAAGGTATATTTATTGATTTGCATTTCTTTTGTGTAGTGTTGGAGATGAAACCCAGGAGATGAAACTTTTCCTTTCTTTCTTCCTTTCTTTCTTTCTTTCTTTCTTTCTTTCTTTCTTTCTTTCTTCCTTCCTTTCTTTCTTTCTTTCTTTCTTTTTGTTTTTTGTTTGTTTGTTTGTTTTTGAGACAGGGTTTCTCTGTGTAGTTTTGGAGGCTGTCCTGGAACTAGCTCTTGTAGACCAGGCTGGTCTTGAACTCACAGAGATCCACCTGCTTCTGCCTTTCAAGTGCTGGGATTAAAGGCATGTGCCACCACTGCCTGGCTGAAATGAAACTTGTTAAGTGCCAGACAATTGCATTGTCCCTAAACTATGCATCCAGTGTTATTCATGTCGTTGTGTTTGTCAAAGGCTCCTTCTCTTTCAAGACTAATATCCAATTGTGCAAGGAGACCATTTTTTTCTATCTCTTCTCAGTTATGCCTGGACATGTCAATTCTCTCCACCTCTTGACTATTGTAT